AAATAAAATTTTAACTGCGCTGCTTACCTCACTGTTTAACTATTTTGTACATTTTACGTCGGTATAAAAAAGAAAAAATTAAAAGATGGAATAAGAATATCAAAAATGAACTAATAATTTTTTATTAAAAAAAAAAATTATCCATGAAATTGTGCTAAAATACAATTTTTTATACGGAATAAATTAAAAATTAATCAGCTTCTCTAAATGTATAGGACATTATATATTTTTAGGCGATCTATTTCTATAATGTGTATATATGTATAGAGTAACGATAAGGATTTTTGATCTCTACACGAAATACTGTTATAATTTGTTTGAGTGTCATTAATTAGATTAGTACTCGTCATTTGCAGTGTCACACAAAACTGTTTGTTGTGATTTAAATTATATGTTGTTTTTCATCGATACAATACGATATATAATTTGATATCTCAGTAAGTAATTGTAAGTGTTTCTTAATAAACCGAGTTGATACGCCGCATTTGATGTATGAAGTTATTACGAAAATGATTTAGCAAACTAAACGTGAAAATAAAAAAATCTCATATCCGTACAATATGTTATGCAGTTGGGTGTTCTGAAAAATTACAACACGCCAGTAAAGTAAAAGTTATATATTTTATTCGCACGTTCACCCAGTTATTTTTTCCTATATGCATTCATACATCTTTTTTTTCTCTCTCTAACAGGTACTTACGTTGTTATCCTCAATTCGAACAACAGCTTCAATAATTAATGATGATAGAAACAATGTATTCGGACAGGTGTGGGAGAGGTAGCAAATAAAAAAGCAACAACGTAACGTAACCGCTGAAAGAGTGTGAAGAGAGCAAAGGTGGAGGTAATGCGAATCTTATATACACACATCGTACACGCATATGTATGAGTTACAGAAAAAAAAATATGTGTAACCTACGCCTCCAAAACAAAAATGTTTTTGATCATGATATGCTCTCAATATAATAGGTTACAATTATTTTTCATTACAGCTTTAAGGACAATAAAATTCGTGTAACATACGTATAAATATTTTTACGTACATAATTCACCGAAAAACATTTTTGCCATTCAAGTAAAAGGAATGTACATTTACATAAAATATATAGAGCAGAAATCGGTAAGCCAAAACCACACACACAACGTTCCCCAGGACCTAGTATACATGGTTATTCTCACCTACTGGCGTATCGTTTTAACTATTTTAACGAAACTCGTCGGTTATCTCATGATGGCATCCAGCAGTGGTGCACGCAGGTATAGAAGCCGTGTGATTCCAGTCTCTCCAGGTTGTATAGTGAATGTGAATAATCAACAACTTACTCGTGTGCACATCCTTTTGACATGATTTATAAAGGTTTTATGAAAAGACACACTAGGAAGGTATAGTATATAAGTACAACTATTGCTCGGTAAGTACGAACTGCTCTCGAGCTCGGCCAGCAGTGCTCACGCGCCCGCGGCGTATACCTACTTTTTTACGTTACGATAAGAGCAAAAAGGACGACGACTGTAGCCGTCGTCTTCGTCGACTCGCATACAATTTGGAGCATCAGATCAAAGAAGGAGGGGGGGAGGGGGGTAGCTGCCACCGCCTCGCCTATATACTTGTTAAAAAAATTGTGAACGCAGAGGGAGAGATACCCTATATACGATTGTCAATATTTGGTTTTTGGAAAGGAGCAAGGGGGCCAGGGCAAGGAAAGAAGACTTCTTTTTTCTTTACCTACTTTTTTTGGTACATAATATTATTACTTATGGTCGGGCTTTTTTTCTCTCCAGCATCACCAATTATAGCTTTTTTACATTTTTATTTTTATTTTTTATTTTGCACGGTTTAAATTTTGGCTGTAACAAAATTATTTTTCCGCCCTCGGGTGGTTTTGGGAGGCTGGTACTTCCTCGGGCGAAAAAGCAGTTTTCCGGAACTCGTTCGAAAAGTCTCCTTTACGAACCTCTTTACG